AAAATTTATTGTGAAATATTTACCTTTTTTTAGGCTTCAGAAATTCCAGTTAAAGTTTGTGACAGGAGGAAAAAATGTATGTAATTTGCTCTTAATGTAATAAGTCTTAATATAGCTCACTTCTCATTGATTCTGACTAAATAACAGTTTATTTATAGGATTACCATATAAAATAAAAGTATTATCTAAATGTCACCAGCCACAACATTCTCAGATTGAAAAGGGTATTTAGGCAAACATATGTTTATTGTATATTTACTAAGAATTAAATGATGGAAAACATCGTGTCAATTTGTCCTCAAGTGTCACTTATACTGCCAGATTTGTTGAAATACAAAAACAAAGTGCACTTTTTTTAATTTATAAAAGGACTTTAGATGTCAACTTCATAATTTGCTAAAGCATTTATTGATAAAACAAGAGCACTTTGTAATTTATCAATAGACGTTAAATGTCAACTTCATTATTTGCTTAAATATTTATTGATGATTGATATGTAAACTATGTGTTATGAGAGTATAAGCAATCAGGATTCTACTTTGTCAAAATTATCTCCCCATTACGCCACTTTATTTGTATAATCGTAAAAAAAGAAGCCATTGTAGTAATGACGCGCTGTCAATTTAGCTCTTGAAAACCGATCAACTTATCCACATACCATCATTACGATCCTTATATGCCAGTTGTATTTTAAAAGACAAATGTATCTGCTAGCTACTGAGCATGAGTTTATGTACTTTTATGCTTTTCTTTAGTCATCTTAAAACTATTGTCTGATCGGTTGTCAGGGGTAATTTTCGAAAGTTCAAAAATAAAAAAAAAATCTAATTAGATATTTCGTGGAAGGGCAGACTAAAAATTTTCAGAGGTTGAAGACTAATTACCATAGATAACACACACAAAAAATGAAGCTTTTTTGAAGGTATGCATTTTTAAGATTCACTTGTAAAGTCTGTCGTCAGGTACATTTAGTAAAAATTTGTTATTCGAACACACCTACTCTGTTGTCATGCCTCATTAGAAAGGTATTTCACTCTACCTATATATTTAATTCTTAGTACTGTAAATTTTAAATGTTATTATATTAACCTATAGCCTAAATATATAAAAATAATAGAATATGAAGCGAGATGATGTATCAAATATTTTTCTTTTGTATGATTTCAAGACACAATAGTCAATTCAAACATGCCAGAACATAAAAAGGTGTACTCGACTTTCTCTTTTCGATGAGATCATTGCTCTTTTTGGGATTTTTCCCAAAAAAACTGTTGCCGGGGGCAGAGATGCAAATTAATGTTTTAAAGAGACCAATCTATTATCTTTCTTTGGAATTTTTTTCGGGGGAATTTATGCTTATGCACAAAACAAATCCACATGTATTTGCACCTACCACAATGGACTGTTTTGTGAAAATTTGTCTTTAATTTAAAAGTTTAAAAATATCATAACGTTCAATACCATGATTTAAGTACAACACATATGTAAGATGCATAAAATTCTCAATTATGCACATTCATTAAATTTTTAAAGCCCATAAAAACAGATTTACCAACTAGGCCTTTTTTACCTTCTCTACTAAAGAGTTCCATTTCTTTTGTTTAATTTCAACTGGGTTTCCACCTGTAAACACTCCTTTAAAAGTATATGTAATTTTTTGTGCTAAGGAAAAATATATGAAATATCTGAATTAATAATTTGTTTATGGCTGTGATAGAAACTAATTATTTCGCAGTACTTAGTATTTCAAAATACAGTCCTTTGTACTCCCTTTAGATCAGCTTATCTATTCTCATTACTTGGCATTCATAATCCATTGTCTGTATAATGGCTAGTTGAAAATTTAACATAATTTTCTCCTTTGAAACCACCAAGCCATCAATCTCCAGCACAGAGTTCATATCAGTTCCATACGTGCTTTGCAATACTTCCCTTCATATGGAGTGTAGTGTTACATAGTATAGAACGGAACGAATATGATCTCTGCGCCGGAGATTGCTAAGCCATTTGAAACCAATTTGTCCGCTAGTGTCTTCTGTAAGATTTGTTCCTGGTGTTCATGCCAATCAAACAACATGTCAAAATTGCTAAATAGAACATATATTTGAAGTGCAAGTAACTGTTTAATATTTAGAAAACAATAGTAGAGCCAGAAAATTTGACAGGGTAAAATGCTCAGAAATTGGATTTAGCTACTTCCCTTAAACACCAAATTCTCAAGAGTCCTTGAATGATGATTTTTAACCAGTTTGACAATTTTTGCATAAGTAAAAAAGAGGAAGAGAATTTTGTTTACAGATAAATTAATCTACAATACAAAAATCTACAAAAAAATGAAAGAAAGGGGGTAATCAGAATCCATGTACAAGAAAATCAGAACACAGCTGGTCAAAAGAAAAACGTGATGAAAAGACAAACAATACTTAACACTACCCAGAAAACTAAAGATTGCAGATATGCTTGAAACCATCAAATGACTGCCTAAAGGATTAATTGTCCTCAAAAGACAACTTTTTACATATAATCCTACCAAAATTAAAAATTACTAAAATTTACAAATTAATGTCTCAATATATGACCGACCGTGCGACACTCTCATAGGTAGTCAATGTTATCAACCCCCGCTCCCTAGTAGTACCATATATGATTGATTCACTTATAAAAACAAAAAATCTCAAATTCTGCTTTGATTAATGTTTCAGGAAACACAAAGAATTCAAATGCATATAAAGAGATACATATAAACATCTTCCAATTCAGGAGTTGAAGTCGCAGGAAAAAAATTCACTAACCTTGATATAACACTATATATAAATTCAATCACATCTTTAGTTTAATCGTAATCATGTATTTCTAACAGTTTTAAATTCATCTTATTTAATAACATATAAAACAGGAATGATCCAAACTTTTACATATTTTCTTGCAATTGGTAAAGAGTATTTTGTTTTCAATGAGAGTTATTTATATTTCTTTATACTATATACTGATTGAGAATAAGTCTTTAAGGTTGTGTCTAGGGTAAATTGTTATTGTTTATCATAGTGTATAAAGTTAAATTGTTTTTATTTTGTTCTGTTAATCCTTTGAAAAAACTGTGATGTATATCATTAATAGTTTGCTAGTTAGTGGAACTATCAGCTAAAAAGCTGTGAATACTGTAGACATAAAGTGAACAAAACCTAAAGTTGTTAATTTCTGTGTCATTTGGTCTCTTGTGGAGTGTTGTCTCATTGGCAATCATACCTCATCTTCTTTTTTATAAAAGCTTATGACACATGAGATATTGTATATTTTTGTTAATAATACTGATTTGGGACCAGTATTTCGAAATATTCTCAGGAAGGAATTATATGTCAATAAGTTATTTTAAATTTGTCCAGAAAAAAATGGTAACAATCTAGTTACAAAGTGCTTAGATTTAAAGAATTTTCAAAAATGATTGTTTCAATTTTTTTGTCTTTCTGTAAAACAGGAATATTTATTGTACCTTTGTTAGCATTCAGCTTTCTTGAAACTATTTACTGATCACTTTAAACACGAACAACTTAAGAAGGTCCCATAAAACTTGATGCTTTTGTTTGCTTCACAATATATTATTTGACTTTTAAAGTAAGTGATATTAATTGCCCGTATTCTATTCGTTTTATAATTTTCAAAACTATATGTGCTTCTAACAGTTGTAGTAAAACTGCTTAATATCAATCCAGTACGAATCAAATTCGTAAGAAAGTATATAAATAACACAAAGCCGAGAGGGTGAGAGAGCAGATTGTTACCCCGAGAAAAATATTATTAACCGAGACGAAGCCGAGTAAAATCTACTCTTTCACCCTTGAAGCTATATGTTTTCAATTCAATATAATGAATGTTCTGATTTTATTGACTTTTAAATAATCGATTTTTGTTTTGCAAGATTTTATTTGCTAATATGAGATAATATCATTTACAAAAATGTTCTCGCTGACACATGTGTAAGAGTAGAATACTACTCTTGTACTCACTAATAAAAAAACCATGCAATCTAACATGAAGTATAATAATGCTTACTGTACCTGGTCACAAAAAACTGCTTATTCTTCAACTTTGAAATGTCTGTATTTTATCTTTCTTTTCTTTTTCATATTGTTACTGAGTCTCGACTGTCACTTTCTATTATACTATGTCGTGTTTATAAACTAAATATTTCATAAACACTTTTGCTACAAACACATTATTTGCATGATAACGCATACTTTATTTCAGTGTCAATGCATGCTTTGGGTGAATATTAACAGTTGCAAGGTAACTTTCTTAATTTCATCATACTATTGCTATAAAGGTACAACGTAAGGGAATTTTTGGGATGAAAATATCATTAGCACTAATTTACTGAAATGTGACCACTACTTCAAATATAAAGTTTAATTAAGTGTCATTGAAAGATATAAGGAATTCATAAAACATTTAATTTTACAGTCAATCACTTTATCTGGACCTTATCCATGAAATGAAAACACACTTCTGCTTCGTATTTCATCTCTACGTTGAAAAGTGATTATAACTGTATAAGCTGTCCTGCATGTGGGGCGTATTGTTAGTTACATAGTGTGGTAGTGACCTAATACGATATATGGGGTCAGTAAATTCCATATGGGGTGAGAGCGAAGCATCTTAACATTTGGTATTTAGACTAGTGGCCTTTCAAAATGATCAAGTCTTCAATACCGTTAGTATTAAGAACCTATTTCCATTGGTCTATACAAAAACAAATGCCAACAATAACAACTTGTTAGTTTTAAATGTGTTTAATGAATTTATTTCAATTTTTCATCATCAATTTCTTCATCTGTTGAAACCTTTCAAATTTTTCCTCAACACCTAGTTGTTTTTATAAAGGGACGTAACACCACTACTAACCGTGTATTGAAATAAGCCCCGCCTACTAACCCCAAATGAAATATACACGGTCTCCACGCGATTGCTTTTAACCAATCATATTCGTAGGAATGTGTAGGAGGTCAGATAAATTTTGATATTTAAGAAGCATCCAGATTTCTCTTCGACATAAACAGACCTACACTGTTCACGGTAAGACAATCTTTATATTTAATTTCTTTAAACAAGGGCATTGTTTAACAAAGTTTGAAATTTGTTAAACCATAATTTTTGGAAATAAAATATAAAAGAATAAATGTTACGTTTTGAATTGAATTTTCATTTTCTGGATTGCTACAATAATACAGCTTCAAACTGCAACAGGGAAATCTCTACTTGGACTATGTTTCGACTTGTTATGAGGAGTTGCTAATCAAAGGTGCATGAAAACGGGAGAAAAACCGAACAAACGGACGACTGGACAATCCAGTGGACCAGCGTTTGTTTGGCTGCAATAATTTATTTTCATTTAAATTGCATGCGTTTTCGATCAAAGAAACAATGCTTCGGGCATATTTCTGGAATAAGAAAATAGAAATACATGTAACAATAAAGTAAAACAAAAATCAAATCAAAATACTGTTTAACAGATTAAAGATGCAATATTGTTTTTCAACAAACAAGGTTGAGACGGTCTTAAATATTTAACAAAACTTTTTAGTCCAGTGAAAAAACTCTATTTTCAATGGGTTTTTTTTTCTAAGAAGAACTGTAATGCAATACGTATTCTATAGAAATTGCAAACACTTTTGAACCAAATTGGTCAAACTTTTAGGTCATTATTTTCTCGTTTGAATTTACATTTGTCATTTTGTGTCCTTTCATAGCTTGCAGTTGCGGTACGGGTTTTCCTAATGGCAAAGGCCATACGGTGAACTATAGTTGCTAATCTCGACGTCATTTGGTTTCTGGGGGAGAGTTGTTTCATTGGCAATCATACGTGTTTCGGTATTTATATATTCAACATTCATGTATTTAGTTATGATGTTTCTTTTGTAAGTCCTGTGAGATATTTTGTTATGTCTTATGTTCGAGACGACGTGGTTCGGTATTTATATATCCCGCTTTCGGGCTTTTTGTTGTTACTTTCTTATACGTGTGGGTCCGGTGTGTCATTTTGTACTGAGTTGTTGTCTGTTTTTTTCGTTTGTGGTTTGAATTGATTTCAAGTTCAAAGCAACTATATGCACAGGATTTTTTTTGTTTATACACAGTTTTGATTTAGAAGAAAAACCGACATAGTTAAAAAAATACATAAAATATCACCATTACAAACTCAAACCCAATTCAATATTCTTGTATGTGTCTATAGATAAAACAAATTTATTTTATTTTTAGAAATTTACCTGTGATAATATAAACGTCACAAAAAATACGTCACTTTTTGTGACGGTGGTCCATTCATATGACGCGCAGTTTATATTTCGTTTGTGGTGTCCTGGTGTGCTGTCGTAAATTGATGGGAGGTGTCCGTTGTTATTCTGTGGTTTATAAGTTGTAATGTACTATTATACTATTTATTTATGTATTTCTCTGTGCTGAGTGTTTTTTTCGTTTGTTTGTATTGTATTCCTGTCACGTGGTGTTGTCATTTTAGCGGTATTTTTAACATTGCCATATAAGCGGGAGGTTTGGCTAGCCATAAAACCAGGTTCAACCCACTATTTTTTCTTAAAATGTCCTGTACCAAGTCAGGAATATGGCAGTTGTTATCAGACAGTCCGTTTCTATGTATGTTGGCGTTTGATTTTGTTATGGTTCAGTGTTTCTGTTGTTCCGTTGCTTTCCTTTTATAGTTGATGTGTTTCCCTCGGTTTTAGTTTGTTACCCTGATTTGTTTTTGTTTAATCGAATTATGACTATTGAACAGCGGTAAACTACTGTTGCCTATATATGTATATATATACCACATCTTTTGAGTTTTATATAGAGATGATGAATAAATGTCAGCAAACAAGGAAGTAGACATCCAGAATATGAAAAAAATAATTCAAAATATGTGACCATCAGTTCGTTAAGACGGAATAGGGCGTAATGTTAAAGAGTACTTTTTTTTACCTGAAAGACTCTAAATTGTTCAAAAGTTTTTCGATCTTCCGAGAAACGATTACCACACAAATCCTTTTTGTAAAATGTTCTGTTTTAAAGATGTTCGCTTCTTTACTTCAAAATAACAAGACTTTTAAAAGCCTGTAATTAACTGATAGTATATAAATAATGGAACTTAAAAAGCAGAAAAAATAATAGGTCCGTATCCTTGTATTTGAGATATAATTAATTGAAAATTTGGCTCAAAAGATTCTCTCTAGATTTTTCGTAAATTTAACATTGACACCTTTTTTATTTCAAACACTATGAAAAAAAACATGGATTTTATAAGATGTTCAAAAATAGATGTTTAAATTATATGTTTTAAAATTATGAAAAGAAAAATAGGGGTTAGCGTGCAAAATTTTTATTGGCATTACATGGATAAAACTAGAGGATTCCGAAAAAAGTCAAAAAGTCAAAAACATGAGTAGCGAACATCCTTAAGGATAATGGAACGTTTCATTATTTCTATTATTTTGTAGATGATCAAAAGAAATCGCACACAGGCTCTCCTCCTTGCAGTTTTCGTACTGAATGGTATTGGTAATGTTTTATTTTTCCGTTTTTTTTTTATATATGTTAACACTTTTTTCACATTCCCTATTTGTTTAACCATTTTTCACATCATTCCTGTAACTTGTTTATTTCAAATTGATGAGCAGTATTTTCGTCAGAAAAAAAACATTTTATATCGATACTTCCTTCTTCATATGATAAAGTGTAAGCGGACTCGGAAAACAAAATTTAATAAAACATCAGTTGTTCATGACTTCGTAACGCCAAATGTAAAACGATATAGGACATTAGGCACCTAGTTAATTTCGTAATTTCGTACAGTTATTGTGAAATTCCAGGTTGAAATAAAATACTATACACTTACCTTTTTTGTATAACAATTCAACAAATAACAAAAAAAAAAATAAATGAAAATATGTTATCAGCAGGTAGCACTTAAACCAAAGCTTGAGCAATGCTGACTCTGATAAATACCGAAAACGATACGTTTATTCTCAATACCTGATGTTATAAAAGTATCATTATGTAATAACACAAGATCAATTTTTTACCAAATTATAAAATCGTCATAACAGTTGAACGAAGAGAAACATAATTTCTATCTGTTTTTAAGCGTTCTTTTGCTCTTTCGCCAAAGTTAGTGGACTTACAATCAAGCCGTATGAAGGGAACGACGAAGGCACATCATTGTTAAAAGGTAAAAATTACAGCATAGAAATTCTAATGAAATTATTTCAGTGCGCACAACACGTGTGTTTTTTGAGTAACATACATGTAACCCCTTTGTGTTATTAATTTTGTATTTACATTGTGTCATAGATCAAATTTATTCGTTGAGTGTATGATCACTTGCTTTTGTTGATATGTCTTTTGATTGGGTTATGCCTTTTCAATTGATAGTTTATAGTGTGTCTTTCTATGTTGTATTGTTACACTATTAATTCTGGTAGGGTGAAGGTTGGCGCCTATTACAACGTTTAAACCCGCTGCATGTGTTTGCACCTGTCCTAATTCAGGAACCTGATGTTCAGTGGTTGTCGTTTGTTGATGTGGTTCATGAGTGTTTCTCGTTTCTCGTACTTTATATATATTAGACCGTTGGTTTTCCTGTTTGAATGGTTTTACACTAGTCATTTTTGGGGCCCTTTATAGCTTGCTGTTCGGTGTGAGCCAAGGCTCCGTGTTGAAGCCCGTACTTTGACCTATAGTGGTTTACTTTTGCAAATTGTGACTTGGATGGAGAGTTGTCTCATTGGCACTCATACCACATCTTCCTATATCTACTTAGATGAAATTAGCAGTTCACTTCAAGTCCCTTTAGGTCATATAGTTCCTAACATTTTTACGTATTTATACATCCCAGGCTTACTTTTTTTTAGTCTGAGCATTGTTAATAAAGGATAATCCAGTGAAGGGCAACCAACGCACGACATTTATACATTAATTTATCATTTTCATTTCAAAAAGTAAAATCACAAAAATACTGAATTCCGAGGAAAATTCAAAACGGAAAGTCCCTAATCAAATGGCAAAATCAAAAGCTCAAACACATTAAACGAATGGATAACAACTGTCATGTTCCTGACTTGGTACAGACATTTTTCGTATGTAAAAAATGGTTGATTGAACCTGGTTTTATAGCTAGCTAAACCTCGCACTTGTATGACAGTCGAATCAAATTCCATTATATTGACAACGATGCGTGAACAAAACAAACAAACATAATAGGTAAAAATATCAAAAATAGGGTACAGCAGTCAGCATTGTGTTATAATCTTAATCACTATAAAAAAAACAAATATGTAACAAAGAAGCACAAAAAGTCAGATATCAAATTTAACAACCTCATTCATTGCTTTTTTATTATACGATTTTATTTATCTATGTCCACCCATAAAGGATTGAAAGATTTTAAGTACTGGGACTGACTCCTTACCCTGACAGGCACATGGTTAGGTTAATAGTTATCAAAGGTACCAGGCTTATAATTTCATACGCCAGACGCGCGTTTCGTCTACATAAGACTCATCAGTGACGCTCAGATCGAAATAGTTAGAAAACCAAAACATTGCGCGTTTGACGTACATCAGTTGATCAGCATGTAAACGTCACACAGGTAGAAATAAAATAATTTTGTCGTTCAAAGTATGAACAGAATGTAGTCTATAGTTCTTTTAGGCATATCCTCTGCAGAATATCAATTAGAATTTTCCCTTGTCCTTCTTTGCCGCTTGTCTATAACTTTATATGCTTATTGTGAATTTCTTCTAAAAAAAAAAAGAGCCACGTCATTATGTATTTTATTAAATCTAACATCTTGCTCAAGTTATATTGAGATGCACCCCAATGAGTTTAACCTCTATTATAAAGGTTAATATATTGAAATTGATACAAATCAGTCAGTACCATATTACATAATTTGTCTGTTGATGACTTGTTAAATCAATATCTAACAGTTCAGGGCAGCAAGTGCAGAAAGCAAGATGTTAGATTTAATAAAATCAAACTTCAATTACAACGTTCTAGTTTAAAACTAATTTTTTGAG